TTAAATGTCTTAATGTCTACTTACTTACTTGCTCATGACAAAGACAAATAACAGGTGAATTGGCAGGTTTTTGGACAGTTGGACACATAATGGCTTAATAATTGGATTAAATAATTGGAAAAATAATTTAATTTTGATTGGATTAAATAATTTTGGATTTGGATTAATAGTTGGATTAATAATGGCTTTAGAAAGTCAGTAAACAGCTTTTAGGACGATATTGCCGTAGCCTACAATATGTTTTGAGATTTTATGAATGCAATGGAATCGTCATAGTTAGTTTTAAAAATGTCTACTTATTCATGACAAATAAAAATGGGGAAATGGGAGGTTGTGCACACAGTTCTAGACGTTAAAACTGGCTGTAGAAAGTCACCCAACGGCTTTTTAGGAGGATATGGCCGTAGTCTACAGTGTTTTGAAATTCATGAATGCAATCGCCATATGGTTTAATTTTTAAAATGTCTATTTGCTCATGACAAACAACAGGTAAATGCCGAGTTTATGGACGATTAGGCAAGGTTTTAGGTGTTAAAAATGGCTTTAGAAAGTCACCAAACGGCTTTGAAAATTCCAAATTTTCCCGGGGGGGAACCCCCGGACCCCCCTGCTTTATTGGGGGGTGCTCCACACCCCCCAAGCCCCCCCCTTGACAAGGTCCTAGAACCGTCACTGGGGGGGGTTATCCGGGCTGTACATCTGGCTGACAACGAACTGCACTCACGGTCAAAGGAATTTACAAGGGTTGGAAGGGTAGCCCGCCTAAGCCATATGGAACTGCACTCACGGTCAAAAATCGGTCTTTCACGGCTGAACGCTTCGCTAACCCCTTAGTCATCTGTTTATTCCGTCCTCTGTCTTACTTTATCCAATACTTTATTTAATACACGTTTCAGTGTCTGTCCCAATAAATACAACAATAAAAAACCTAACCTAACCTAACCTAACCTTTACAAAAGAAGCTTCGTTATAATAAGAATATAGCCTATAATGTTATCGTAAATACCTACTATGCTAGAATTTTCTGTGCACATTATGTGTATTTTTTACAATGTCAGTAGTAAGTTTATTTTTTGACGTTTAGATTAATTTAATCAAAACTTTTCAATATATTTAAACTAATTTAATAAGTTTTAATCAATTCAATCATGGTGTTGCACAATGTGATATAGGCTAATTAAAAACTGACCGTGAGTCCGTGAGTGCAGTTCCAGTACCTCCAGAAAGGCTCAAAGTGACCGTGAGTGCAGTTCCAGCCCTCCCGTACATCTTTAGTTGCCCTATACAATCTATTTAATCACACCCTGTCTATTTGCATTGAAACTCCCAAATCAGCGGGGGTAAAATTCCTACTTCTTCATAGTGACGTCAGGTCTGCTCAGAGGGTAAAATTCCAGGGGGATAAAATTCCGGTGTCGGGTGATCCAAATGAATGAATTAAATAACACATTTATATATATAAAAAATTCAATGTATTTTTGTTTGTCATTTATATGTAACCAAACCGGCCATCCATTTGTAACGAAACTTTGGGAACTTGTTCTATACACCCCCGATGGGGTTTGTGTGGGATAAAATTATGGAAAACTGCTCAGGGCTGCCCTAGCGGCCTTTAAAGTTTCCATGTTATCCTTATAGAGAAAAGATTTTTTTACATTTGAACAGATTAATACTTTAAATTTTTACACTTTTACTAAGTGAACAGCTGGTTATATTTATCTGGTTGAAATGACAAAATTTGTATTATTTGGTGGCTTAAAAATTGGTGTTTTACTGCATAACACTTTTTACAATCCTTTAAAGAATTAAAAATCATGATATGTACACTAATTTTGGCGTGATTTTTAAGATCTGTGTTTCTCTGCAACTAAATATTATTCATGTAATATTATTATTAAATATTATTACTCTGTGTCCAGAGTATCAATGTCATATAAACAATTATTTGCAATCGAGTTTCATCTAATATTTCAAAAGATGGCACCTGCCTTCTTCACTTATGATTGTTAATCACTTTATGATTTTTTATAATGTGTGCTCAAGAACTTATAGGAAACTGCCAATCTGAAAACATGACTGTGTGACATTCAGATATTTGGATAACATTTGTAAATTCAATTCCATTTTTGTCATGGTGCTCGGAAGCTCATTTAGATGACAGGATCTCACATGGGAGCTACAATTTCAAGATCAATGGCGCATTACCATCTACTAATGTATGAGTAACCACCAGGATGAGTAAAACATGCTGGTTTAAAATAATGAAATGGTTTTATTTAGAAAATAAAGTATATAAATCAGTATAAAAAGTTATATAAATTTGTACTCATGACAATATTTAAGAATGTGAGAAGACATAATTTACTGTATGCAGTAGAGATTGTAACTTACTGTAGAATAATTTGATTTTACATACAATGTTTTATTACTGTAATAAAAAAAGTATAAGCTGGTAACTCACCTTTGTTTTGTAACTTTATATTTTAACAGTTCAGTTAAATTATTTTTACAGAGAATGATAGAGGAAGTCAATTCAGTTTTGAATTGGCAAGATACATTTATAGCTTTTATCCAAATTTAGGTTTAATTAATTTTTCGAGCTACTATCATGTCTACACACACACACAGTGCTCAATTTGTAAAAAAATGAGGCGTTGGAACTGTAACCTATTAAATAAGATTAGTACCTTTTTATGCCAATATTTTTATCTTTCTGAAAAAGACATACTGGAATGCTGTTTCCGCCGAAAATCAAGCACATCGAGCACCGCTCTTACAAAAAAAATTACAAAACAGTTAACATTCTGAGTACTTTGGCCTAAATATCCTTTTAGTCTATTGTTCGAATACGAATACTTCGAAAGTCTAAATGTACAGTTACTAAATTTGTAACCAAAGTGTAACAATTTTAAATGTTAGGGTAGGCATATGTAATTCTTAAAAAATATTAAAAATTAATCGAGCATTACCTTATACTGAAAGATTAAAGTAATCAAATTACAACAATGATAATTAATTTATACTTTATATTAATTTATAATTATAACTACTAAAATATTTCTAAAATGTCAACAATTTTTTAATATGAACACTAATTTATAAGCTACATATTAGCTGATACAATTAGGCTACTTACGCTAAATTCCACTATAGCTTTCTATAGTGTAAACATATGGACGGAATAGTAAAATTCAGAGACAAATTACTTGAGCGACTTTAAATGAAGACATTATAGTTTCACAGTGAGCAAATTATTTTGATTATTCCTTTGGAGTTTTAATCCAAAATTGTCAAGTAAATTTGATTAAAAACTTCTCCAAAAATAAATTATACAACAAATTAAATTATACCTCGAATACTTGAACAGAACCGGTATGGATCATAAATATAAAAAAATTACTTTACTGGCCTAAATCCTACAGTAATAGCATTAACATGGTTTAGTCAGTTTCATTTAAGCAATGTTAAATCTTCTATAGGCTACTATGAATACGCGACATGAAACTTTGTGAACAATAAGGCTTTTAATTGCTCGAATTCGAGCAACAGGTACACTAGTAATGTTTATGTTGGGCCAGAAACATAATTTGTTTGTGTTAATGATCCATACCGGTTCTGTTAAAGTATTTGTGAACTATACCAAATAGCTGAAATGACAATACTAAATGAATTACTAATTTAACTTGAATACTTATAATTATGAACTAGGCCTGCCATAGTCTCCTCTAATACAAGTCGTTGGTGTGGGGCAACACCACACAGGCCAGCCTTTCGCCATGATAACAACAGTAATAAGAAGGTTTAAACATAAATATTGGACAGACACTCCATTATAATTTAGTGCAACAGTTGTTTCGGTTTGCCAAGACAGAGGTGTTGCCACTTGATTTGTCTTGCCGGGGCCTTGTATTAGAAGGGGCTATGGAACTACAAATGCACACTTTATTCAAGCTTTTTAATTAACAAGGATGGATATAGCTTAGTTAAAAACACCCACTACTGTGTCACATTCCCCGCACAACTAAAGAACACCATTTAGTTTTTTCAATTAAATACGTTTTATTTTTGTCAACTACCAGCTACTGTGCAGCCAGCCAATGTGATGAAATAAAATATACGTTTTTTAATATCTAAAAAGCATTATTGAAAATGTGTGCTATAGAAATATTTTAGCTGAATTAACAGTAACAGAGCATATTTTACCTTGATGCAAAAAAATGACCTAACAAAATTCTCTAAATAAATGTGAAAATATCCGACAGTGGTGATATAGCGTTACAATACTTTATCCATCTCATTCCTCACATCTATTAGCAGAACAAATAAAAGTACCTTAACAAGACATTGATTTTATCAAATTTAAAGGCATCGATGTATACAAGTAGCCAACTACCATAGTTATATAATGGTTTGAATTAAAAAGGCTAATTTAAAAAATGGTGGTAGGTAAAAGTTATTACAATCAACAGTGGTAGACTAACCTACTTTCATTAATGATGTGAATGTTTCGATACTAATATTTTTTCTTGTTTCTATGCAATTTGTAATTAAATCAATATGCTTCTAGGGGAAAGCGGTCCAAACCCATTAGAGTTTTGTGGATGTGCCGGAAATTGAACCCATCCCTCCAGTACTGTAGTCAAAAACATTTACCACTAGGATAGCCCAATTGAACACTTTTAGAGGATCTACTCACAAAATACCACTCAGAACATGTTCACACTACACATTAACATTTTAACATGATTAACCACAAAAAAGGTTAAAGAAACCAGATTTAATTGCAGATTGGTCTTAAAAAAAGAAAATGAAAATCCCTAAAACAACATAATTAGGAATATTTATATATTAGCTTGCTTTTAAAAATTTATGATCAAATACTAGAACAAAAAATTCACAATTCACATAATTGTTTAACATATATTTATAAATAAAACTGCATTTGCAATGTTATAAAATAAAAATATTAAATACACACAGCAAAAAATGCTATTATACTTTATGGAAGTTCTCCTTGATTTGCATCAACTCATTAACAAATAAACTAATGAACGGCATAGCTAGGACATTTGGGGAATCATCCTCTAGTAGACAAGATACAGAACCTTTAAAAAGTATCTCAATTCTATTTTACTCTTTCTCTGGATATATGATTGTGTTTTACTAATCACCGCGAACTTTACTCTAACTCAACAATTTCCAAAAGTTGAAACGATAGTGTTTTAGCGGCCCCAGATTAAATTATAACACAAATAAATAAAACTTAAACAGTTTCCAACATATAGCTAGAAATTCCTTATTTGTTTGACTAGATAAATCACAATTAAAACAGGAGTTTCCAATAAATGACTAGATGTTTCTTTTTATACTGACTAGATAATGATTGGTCAGAGTGAGGTTGCAGGGGAGTTTGGCAGTGAGGGCTATCCATCGTCTGAAGGGAGAAGCTCCGCAATTCGAATTGACTCTTTGACTCGTTGATTGTCCGCCGTGGCAGCTTCCCACACCAGTTCTACTTCTTCTTTGCTTTTGCTGGAACATGATTTTAATTAGGTGACACTACACCATTGTCTTGTTGAGAGGAAAAACTTAAACTCAAATTATGAATAAGCAAGGTATCGAATCTGTAACTCTCACATTTAAGTTTGCGACACTGGCCTCTACGTAAGCCACACACCTGAAAAGCAGTATTTTAACAACATGAAGGCATCTACACATAAGATCCGATTATTGTGATGAGGGAGATATTTTAAGAATACTAATTAAAGATTATTTAGGGTACATTAACAAAATTATTATTTTTAGCTGGGCTGAATCTTCAAGTAATTCTTAGATAAAGGGAGGTGTTTGACTAAATGTAGTACATGGATTATGACTGAAATAGATAGCATTACTGTAGAATAGGAACTCTCATATCTGGAAATCTTAGTACCGTACCGAGCATAGGTTTAATAATGTTTTGGTTGCATAAACTAACACTCAAAATCCCAAATAAAATTACAGAGTTCATCAATGCAAAGAGTGTCCAATACAATGGTAAATACACAAAGAAGCTTGGATTTTTTGTAAGATAGTTGTTGAAAAATACCCAACAGTAAAGCCACTAGAAGTCACTAGATGTTGCTGAATTTAATTTAACCTATCTAGACGCTAATGAATCGACTGAGTCTGAAAAGTAGTGTACAGAGTATAACATAAATAAATGGTGTCCTAATAGACAATGATAATCTGAAAACAGATGGACCTTAAGAAGTGGTCAAATCATATTCCAGTTGTGTGTAAAATTCTCATTTAATTTTTTAAATTCCCATGAGCGATCAGCAAAACAACTAATAGAAAACCCAAGGTCAAATATGAAGACTTTTACTGTATTAAGAGTTTGCTTACATCTTTTCTTTCTGCAGCTGTTCAATGGCCGCATCTTTCTCTTTGATGACAGTCTTCAGTCGCCCCATCTCCTTCGCCCAGTTGGCTTTGGCTTTGTTCATGCCTGCTTCCTGTGCCTTCATCCGCTGCTCTAGGACATCCAATTGCACCTTTGCCCCTCGCTCCAAGCCCTGCAACAAATTTAGATATGCAGTTTGTCAACACACATCTCATTTTCAAAACTGTTTGTTACATAGTTTTTATCATTTAGATTACACAACTCAAATTCCCATGTCTTTTTTTCTTTTTGCTTATGACATTCTCACAATAGGACGAGGAATCTACTTGCATTGTTAAAAGTCAATAGCACCAAACAAACCTTCAGTTTGGTCCTGAGTGTGTCCATGCGGCTGGCGTTGTCGTGTCCATGTCGCACCACCTGATTGGTCTCGTGAGTCCGATCAGCCAGCTGACGCAGTAATGTCTCCTGGTCGCAGATCAGCTCTCTGCTGAACGCCAGAGCTTGTTCCAGCTGCTGCTTGAGCGTGGCTCGCACTCGTTCACATTTCCGCACTCGAGCATCACTCGTCTCTGCACGCCCCTCGGCTTTCCTGCAGCAGAGAAGTAAAAACTATCATGTCGGTCATTTTACATTAACAGGAAATTTAAATAACATTAATGTTATCAATAATTTATCAATAATTGTCAAGAAAATCTCGGAAATAACAACATATTATAAAAGCATTACCTATTACTATTACTAACTACAGCAAACTTTCGCTGTATTCTTGGCCAAAGCCAAAAAAGTAAATACAAAACTGAATAGATAAGTTTCTAAAAACTTATAATAATTGCAGCACTATACACAGGGCTGGGATTGACCAATAGGCTCCAAGCATACCATTCTGAGGTCACTAAAAGTGAAATAAAGCGATTTAGTTACATAGAAATGTGCTTCCTAATTAATAAGTGAATTGCACACATACTTTAAACACCTAGGAAATAATCTCATTAGTTTTACTTCCACACTTTTGGCCGAAATTCTTGGAGCATATGAATAAACATAAAATATAAAATAAACCAGAACAGAACTGAGAATAAAAATATAACTCCTTACTTGAGTTGTTTTTGCAAATTCCTAATCTCATGATTCAGCTGGTCTCTCTCTGCAGACACTGTTACCAACTGTATGTCCAAATCTGGACGCAATGACTCCAGAGTGGCCAACTTTCGAGTCAAAATATCTCTTTCTTGTTCATATCTATTCTTAAGCTCTTCAAACAACCTAAAAACAAATTCAACGATAAGTTAGTCTGATAAAAGTCAGTGTGGTAAAGTTCTGAAACAAAAAAAAATGTGTAGACAATAGTTCTAAATACCTACCTATAGTAATTTACAGTCTTTCTTAAAACTAGGGATGGTCAAGTCTCGAAATTTCGGGAAATTTTCGGGAAATTTTAAATCTCGTTACACGAGACGAGATTTCTTTTTGGCCGAGATTTTTATCGAGACGAGAATAAAAAAAATAAAAATAAAAAAAAAATTAAAAACGCCTGCAGAAAGTCAATGCAATACCCGCAATACAGGAGCGTGTTGTAGTTGCGTTTCCTTTGCGAAGGCGTTCTTATTTAATTAATTCTATAAATGTAAATATTACTTTAATTATTTTAATAATATTACTTTAATAACATTTGAGAAGTTTTGTTAAGTGTAAGTAGTGTGAGGAATGTATAATACTATAAAAAGTCAAAACAAGTAACTAATTTATAAAAATTAATATTGCTTTTATTTTATGATTTATTTTATTTTAGGATAAGTTGAACTCTATCCTAACTGATATCTTTATATTTCCTAATCGTAGGCGTTTTTAATAAGTTAGGCGTGATTTATAAAAAAATGTTATGTTGATGTTTTTTAATAAAAAAGATAGTAAATATTCTTGCCTATTATCATTATTTTTGTATTTAAACAGTCATCTAACAATGTTACAAAATCAGGTAAAAATTTTGAACGTGCATTTCCCGTTGTGTATGAGAAGGGAAATCCCGTCTCGAAATTTTATGAGAAATAAAAAATCTCGTCTCGTCTCGTCTCGAACTAAAAATTCAATCTCGTCCATCCCTACTTAAAACCAAAGTCCAAGAAGACAATAGAACATCTGAGACCAATATCTATTTTTATTTTTTACTTAAGGTTTAAGTGCATTTTCCATGTTTTGTGTCCAAGGGAGTGGTTCAAATCTGGAGCTGTTACAATGTAAAATCAACCTCTAGTTAGAATGCATCATTAATTATTAACAGTCCGACCAATATCAAATGGCATTTATGTGTCTAGAATCAGCTCTGATTGTTATTAAATTATGTGAAAGAAGAAAGAGCAGAAGTGGAGATCTACCCTATATTTTCACTTGTCCATAAATCAGGAAATCCTACCACAAGCAGTTTTAGCTCTCAATAAACAATAGGCCTAGAGTACAAAAAATAGTTTACCAGTCTACCAACCTCTTACACTCGTTCACTGAGGCAGTATGGACGGCCACTGGTATCCTGTTGTCTGCCTCATTCTTGAGTCGCTCCAGCTCGTCTGTCAGTACTCCGAGACGACCCTTGAGCACAAACACCTCCGTTCGCGCCTGTTGACATCGCTCTTCTGCCTGCTCCAGGTCTAGTGTCAATTCTGTCACTACAGGAATCAGAACAGTTAGTGTTTGTTCTGCTTCGTTTTCTGTGCCTACTCGTCTACTGTATAACATAACTGTAAATTATTAAGAAATAGTAGGTTTATCTGTGCTGTGTGACATGGTAGAGGAACAAATAAACTGTCCTCGCTGTACTACAATAGAACAACTATAATATAGTATAGCCAACAATAAGAGATCAAAATATAAGTTATAGGCTATATTAGGAAATTACTGTTTAAATAAAGACAATATGAAGTGAATTTATATTATGTAGATTATTTGAGTGTAAGCAGTTTACTTAAATAACCCATGTTGGTACTCACATCTAGTTTGATAGGCTGTATGAAGTTCATTGAGCTTGCTCTGATTTAGTTTGGTTTGTCGCAGAAGAAGTTCGTTTTGTTCCCTCGTCATCGCTGCTTCTTTAGTAAGCACCTTCCATTCTGCATAGGTCACTTCACCCTTGGGAAATATTTAACTTTGAATCCAAACAGTTCATCAAGGTTTTTTATAGAAGAATACGCAAAATATGATTATGTTCTTGTTTTGAATTTCCAGAAAACTGTCCAATTATAGTTTGACATTGTCTGTTTCGTACTTAATTTACTACCTATAACAATTTGTGTAGTGGAGTAATCTAACTTGTTTAAAATCAATTGGGCTTTACCATTTTATTAAAAAAACTATGCTGTTTTACTTAATACTCTCATTTTTTAATTCTCACAAACTTTTCAACACCTACCTTTTTGTTGGCTTCCACCAGCTGGGCGTGCAAACTCTCATTCTCAGAGACAATCTCTTTGGTGCGGTTTGTGAACAGCTGCATTTCCCGCTTGTAGTTGGAAATCAACTCCTCTTTTTCCGCAAGCGTTTCCTCAAACGCTTCCAGCAATGGAGCCATTGCATTCATTTCTGCCCGACTCCAAGTGGGTTTCCATGAGCCTTAAATAAGCAGAAACTCTAGATTGAAATGAAATGAAATGAAATGAAATGTTTATTCGTCACATAAGTTTACAAGATTGTGATTTTCACATATAAACATATGACATGTCAATACCACTTTACTATCTAATAATACCTTATGCTAAATTCTTTGTTTTTATCAATCCATAAAACCTAAAGCTAAGTTTTTATAAAATCATCTAGGGAATAAGGACACAAGAGAATGAGATAAGATTTTAGTTTTCTTTTAAAGGATGACATATTTTCTTCAGTTTTAATTTGATCTGGGAGGTTATTGTAAATTTTCCTACCCATGTACCATGGCGATCCTTCATACAGAGCTGTTCTATGCACAGGATATTGAAGATCATTCCTGTGTCGGGTGTTATATTGATGAGTGTAATTTTTCGACATAAATTCCTTATAATTTCTTTTTACAAAGATGCACAGTTGAAAAATGTAAACTGCATAAATTGTCAAGAGTTTCATCTGAATAAAAAGGGGGCGGCAAGAAGAACGTGGTCTGGTATCAGCTAAAATTCTAACGGCAATTTTTTGTAAGATAAAAATATTCTTGGTAATGGGGGAGCTGCCCCATGAGATAATACCATAGGAAGACCTAGACATAAAATAAGAATGATACACAGCTAGAGCTGCATGCAAACCCGAAGACTTATAAACCACCCTTAGACCAAACAGTGCTTTTGCTAGAGACAAGCTAATTTGTATTTGATGATCAGACCATTTTAGATTTTCATTTATATTTACAGCCAGGAATTTAGTATTTGCAGAAGATTGTATGGAATCACCTGATTTTAGTTTGATTGTTATCTCACCTGCCTTCAGTTGTGGATTATGGAAATGAAGAAGATGAGTTTTGGAACAGTTTAGATGTAGTCCGTTTTGCGCAAACCAAGTTATCATGGAATCTAAATCTCGGGATGAAATGTTAGTTGCAGAAAAAATAGAAGGTGCTCTTACTAGCATTGTTGTGTCATCAGCGAATTGAATAATTTTGGAAGAAATTGAAAAAGACAAGTCATTGATGTAGAGGATGAACAGAAGAGGCCCCAATTTAGATCCCTGCGGAACACCATGGGTTACTGAGCTCCATTCAGAAAAATGTTTGACACCGGATTTATCTTTGATGACAACCTGCTGATATCTGTTAGTGATGTAACTAGAAAACCATGAAAAAGATGATCCAGATATCCCATACAATCTCAATTTCTCCAAGAGAATGTCATGCCTGACACAATCAAAGGCCTTAGACAAATCACAGAAAACACCAAAGGTTCTCTGTGATCCGTCCAAGGCCTCCACTGCCTCAGAAACTAGATCGACTATTGCATCAGACGTGCTTCTCTCCCTCCGAAAACCAAATTGATTCTTGTTCAATAAATTGTTTGGTTCAAGAAATGGAACAATTTGTGAGAGAACAACCTCTTCAAATATTTTTGAAAACACAGGTAAGAGAGCCACTGGTCGGTAGTTTGAAATTTCTTCCGAATCCCCCTTTTTAAATATAGGTATAATTTGAGCATACTTCAATTTGTCGGGGAAGACTCCTGTCAGCAGTGAAATGTTGATAGAATGAGTGAGTGGTTTTATAATTGAAGAAGCCAATGATTTTATTACATTTGTAGGAATTTCATCCCAGCCAGTTGAACTTTTATTCTTTAATCGATTGATGCAGGAGATAACATCGGATTCAGAGACAATCTTAAATTCAAATGCATGTGGGACATTTAGAGGTGCCATTTTTGCTTTGGCTATTGAATCTGCCACCGAAACCTGGGACTGAAACTTATTTGCTACACCAATGAAGTGATGGTTCATGCAATCAGCTACTTTTATAGGATCGTCAATAACCTCCCCATTAATTTTGATTCCTAGACAAGGTTCTGTTTTACAATTTGTACCGATTTCTCTCTTTACAATGCTCCATGTTGTTTTACCTACATTATCACTATTCTCTAACAAATTTAAGTTGTACCTCATTTTGGCTGCCCAAATTACTTTCCTAAAAACCTTCTTGTAATTTTTAAAGTATTCTAAGAAAACAGGATTTGTATTATTTCTAGAAATTTTATAAAGCTCCCATTTTCTTTTACTGGATATTCTAATACCTTTTGTTACCCATTGATTATTTCTCCCATTTTTTGACAGAGATTTCTGTTTAATTGGGCAATTATTCAAAAAAGAATCATAGAATATTCCAAAGAAATTGTTGAAGCTACCATTAGAACTAAGGTTTGACATGCAATTAGTCCAGTTCTCTTCAATCAGACCGTTTAACATACCAAGAACGTTTTCCTTCTTTATGACCCGCTTCGACAAGTATTTTTTACATTGGTTAGGCCTTATTTCATTTTTTTGACAAATTACCTGACCTAAGTGGTCAGATATCCCAAAGTCCACTACTTCACAAAACTTATCAATACTATTTACATTTGAAATTACATTATCAATACAAGTGGCTGTAGTTGGTGTTATTCGAGTATACTCCTTGATCATGGCATTGTACCCAAAAGACTGAAACAAAGTTTTAAACCTAACACATTTTTCATCATCAATTTGCATGTCTATATTAAAATCCCCACTTATGTATATTGGACACAAATGTTGTTCTGCCTCAAGGTGCTGTAATAGTTTTTCAAAGCTTGAGAAAAAAATCTTTAGGTTTTGGTCATTCGGAGTCCTGTAAATTACAATGTATATTGTTTTGGTTGACTTTTCATCACTCATTGTTTCAATAGCAGTGCATTCAAAAGCTTCTTCAATTGCCATAGAATCGATATCTTTCCTTTCTTTAAAAGTGATATTATTTTTTGAAAAAATACATACCCCTCCCCTACTTTTTACATTTCTGTGGTAAACTGAGGCTAGCTTATAGGAGGAAAAACAGTTAGGCAAGTGAACATCATTTGTATCCATCCAATGTTCTGACAAACAAACAATTTCTGGTTCAAGTTTTAAATGATCTAAAGTAACTTTTAAGACAACAAATTTACTTAAACTTGATCCCTGAATATTTAAGTGAGTTAACAAACATTTTTTTAGAATATTTTTTTATATTTTACATTAAACTTTACATTTTTTAATTGTTTTGGCTTATTTACACATTTATCTAAGGCTAAGTTACATGCACTTGGGTTGCTGACGTTAAGTTTTTTTGAAGATCACTACTATTTACATTAGTATTTACACTACAGGTACTACTTTTATCAAAAGACATTTTGTCAGTAGAGGTTGTTGTCACACCTTCAGTTGTGTTGACCGTGATGTCTGCTGAAGCACCACTTCCTGAATCATTGGTTTTGTTCATGACATTAAAGATGTTAAGTTTTATTTTATTTACAAAATCATTGTAAGAAAGCCCACTTCGGAGAGTTCTGGAAGAGTTCTCATCATTCACTATGATCACTTTGGCATTTGTCCTTTGTTGCAGCTGGCATATTCTAGTTACCATGTGCTCGACAGGAACGTTATCCCTGACACAGCCCGCTGGTGAACAAACTATTAACTTTTGGCCTTTCTGTCTTACGTCCTGTTCCAGAGAATCGAAAGCTTTGTCATAATCCCTGATGTCTGGTTTACTGTAATATTTAGGTTTGGTTACTAATCCATATACTGAAACTTTGTTAATTTTTTGATAAGTTAGGTGTGAGTGTACAAAATCTGTTGTTAAGGGTTTCTTGAAATGTTTTTTAAATGCTGTCGCTACACCTGCAGTCTGCTGATTATACTTGATATGGTTGGTTAATCAGTTTGCTAGTTGTGTACACAAATTGTGATAAAACTGTGCTCTGCCTTCTCGGAATATATAGTGAGAAATCAACTGTGAACAAGAAGGTTGTACCTGTTTGCTGAGTTTAGTGTCGGTTTTGTCTTCTTTTCATTTGCATTGGGATAGGAATCTTTTTCAGGATTTTTGCCATAGTTATGTTTAATTTAGAGTTTGCAAACACAAAGTTTAGTCTAATATAAACATTTTTCAACATTTTGGAGCCGCAAAGCTTGTTATTTTCAATAGAGAATATTTTTATTATTACTATCAACAGCCCGTCATCATAGACTGTTATCATACACATCACACGAGTAAGCTTGTTGACTGCAGAAAGCTGTTCTTGAATCATTGTCATGTCAGTTGAAAATTACCTCAAGTGCAACTGCAAATCATACTGTGCGTAAAACTAAAACAGTATCAATATACTATTACAAGAATACAGTATTTCATTTTATTAACTCACTCCTTGAATCAGACTGAGATCTGTGTTCTACTCCAGAGTCTTCACTTGCTGTTGTGACAGGCTCGCCCTTCTGAGACAGCTTGTTCTGAGCTTTGGCTAACTCAGTGTTCATCCTAAAACCAGAAATAAGTTATTACAGTCAGATATTAAGCTGTGTTTAACTATAGATTTTACACTCTTTGCTAGCAAGATAGCCTATTTTAAAAATCAGAGTCACAGTTTATTTGTTTTTTTTTCATACCAACTAGGCCTACCACAATATTTAACCATACAGTCATTTTGTCAAGCTAACAATTATTTTGTCAAAAGCAAGAATGATAGACTAATTGAACTTAAGAACTTGAGAATTGGTGGCTTAAAGGAACAAATAACGCTATTATAATTAATTGAAGATATTCTGCTAAGTTGGAATAAAGCATACTACAAGAAGCAAGGAAGAGCCTGTATTGGGTTCTTTTTTGATCAGCAAATGCTCAATGAGGCATATAGATGTCTCAACAGCCACACTCTTGCCCCCATTGCTAGATTTAGTGATGGTTGCTAATGATCTGTCACATTGAAAAATAATTGCCAGAAGTGATAGAAACAGAAACATATTTCAGCGCTATTTATATCATCAGCAAGGTTGGTTTCAGTAACTAATATGTTCGCTGCGGTTGCGTGATGGCTGGCCTCCGGGTGTGAGAATGCTAATGCGCTGTGTGGATGAGTGCACAAAAACGTTTAAATTTAATTTCATCCAAAAGGAGAGGCATATTATAGCATGTACTGCGTCCCAGTTGTTGTGATCTCATGTCGTGATGTCTGTTTGCTCATGAACTGATCTCTAGCTAGTCTCTGGAACTCCGTGACTTATAGCGTTCTTGGCAGGCTTGAATTTGTTGTTATTTCTTTGATGATAAGTTCGGGATCATTTGGCTTTTAATTTTTTATCGTTCCTACTTTAGATGTTAGGTTGTCTATGTCTATGTCTATTTTCATTTCATTAGCCCAGACCCATAGCACAAATTTAAAATTTTATATTCAAATGATTAGTTCCATATCAGATCTGATTTCTGCAATGCCTGTAGTAGCTTCAGTTATTTTTCAACTTCGACAGATCAGCTTTTACTCACATTTAGACTTGATGTTAAGACAGCCATAGGATCCTCCATAAACACAGAATACACAGTTGACTCTATTGCAGAACCATTTTTTGCTTTCATCCCTGAAAAGCTGACTATAATCAGCCTTTCAGTGAAACCAACGGTTGCATTTTGACTAACATTGTATTCCCTCCTCTGAACCCAGAATCACCTTCACGCATACTTTTTACAGGTGTTTTATATCATGGTTCTGAAATATCAAAGATAGCTCCAATAAGTTTAGGTAGGTATACTAGGTTTTTACAACACCCGTATGAGAGCTTCTAGGTAGCCTACTTGAGAGCTATTCAATTCACCGCCGAGGAAGGCTGGGTAAGTACAATACTTGACTTGACTTATCTCCTTTCACTCCTGCACGGAGCATAGGGCCTCCACGAAACAACGCCATCGGACTCGGTTGGCAGCCAAGGCTCTCACTTCCCTCCAGTTTTTCCCTGCATCTCTTATTTCTTCTTCTATAGTTCTTCTCCAGGTCACTCGAGGCCTTCCTCTTCGTCTATGCCCCTGGGGATTCCAGCTCAAGGCCTGCCTCTCTACAGCATCTGGATCTTTACGAAGAGTGTGTCCAATCCATCGCCACTTGCGTTTTTTAATCTGTATCTCTACAGGTTCTTCATTTGTAGCTTTCCACAGCTCTCTGTTTGAAATAACCTTCGGCCAGTAGATCTTCAGTATTTTTCTCAAACATCTGTTGATGAAAACTTGGAGCTTTTGTGTCAAAGATGAAGATACCTTCCAAGTCTCACACCCATATAGCAACACAGACTTGACGTTGCTACTAAATATCTTCAACTTGGTTCTGGTTGAAATGTCACGAGCCTTCCACACTGGATATAGCTGTACAAAAGCAGCATTAAATTCTTGACATTACATCTTCATTAGCTCCTCCGGCTCTTGTTAAGACACTTCCCAGATATGTAAATCTGTCCACCTCTTCGATTTCTTCATCTGACATTCTGAAACTGTTGTTATTCGCTACATTTATCCTCATTGATTTTGTTTTCTTTACATTTATTTTTAAGCCTGTAGATTGTTCACTTTCCAAATACTGCAACTTTGCTGTCATGTCATCAAATCTATGGGACAGGAAACAAATATCATCAGCAAAGGCCAGTTCTTCAAGCCTCTGTTGTAGTCCCCAGGATATGCCTCTAGCTCCTTTCTCTGATATTATTTGCAAAACCTGGTTTAGAACTAACACAAAAAGTGTTGGTGACAGAACACAGCCTTGCCTAACTCCTAGCTTTACCTCCAAAGGATCACTTAGTTTACCATTATGAATTACTCTACAATGGTAATTTGTGTACATCTCCTTTATAAGAACTATTATTTTATTAGGGATCCCAAATTTCCTAAGTGCTTTCCAAATACTCTCTCTTTTTACGGAGTCAAAGGCTTTCAGGAAGTCAATAAAAACAAGATACAAACCAACTCGGAACTCATTACTTTGCTCGATTATTATCCTCATCATATTTATTTGGTCTGTGCATGAGCGGTTCCTTCTGAACCCAGCTTGCTCCCTTCTCAACTTCCTATCAACAACCTCTTTGATTCTGTTCAAAATAATTCTTGCGAATATTTTCCTAGGAATTGAAAGCAGAGTAATACCTCTCCAGTTCTCACATTTGGTTGTGTCTCCCTTCTTCGGCAGTTTATATAATAATCTTGTTTTCCAGTCTTTTGGCATTGTCTCTTCGTTCCAAATTTTATGAAATAAAGGCTTTAAAATTTTTGCTTCCAACTCTGGATTAGCTTTCATAACCTCCGGAGTAATGTTATCACTTCCAGGGGCTTTCCAATTCTTTGTTTCCTTCAGTGACTGTTTTATTTCTTCTTCGGTAGGAGGGCTTATATTTATGTTTTCTTCCTCGGCTTCAAAGTTTTCTTCTAAGTTTTCTTCTATGTTGGGATTATTTTCTTCAACTTCCATAAATAGTTCAGTAAAGAACTCATGCCACCTTTTCATTTGATCACTTTCACTAGTTAAGATCTTTCCATCCTTGTCCTTAATCGGTCTGTCAACCTTCATTCTTTTCTTTGACAATTTTTTAGTTATATTATACAGCTCTTTCATGTCACCTTTTCTTGCCGCGTCTTCAGCTTTCTCAGCATACTCATTCGTCCACTTTCTTTTGTCTGCCCTTGCACTTCTCTTCACTTTGATATCTGCTTGTCTATATTCTATTTTCATATCTCTCTTTTGTCCTCGAGTCTTACAATTGTTCAACTAATCCTTCACTTTCTTCCTCTCCTCCACTTTCCTCCATGTGTCTTCAGACATCCAATCCTTCTTTCCCACTTTTTTCACTCCCAAAACTTCATCTGCTGTGTTAGCATATTCTTCTTTAATGCTCATCCAGTGAACTTCTATATTGTTGCTGTCCATGGATCCGAGAACTTCAAATCGATTCTGTAATTCAACGGTGAAGTTTTCTTTATACGCTATGTCTCTAAGCTTCAATGTATCTATTTTCTTCGATGTTTTCTCGATTCGATTCAATGATGCCGCTATTTTTAATCGTACAGATGCAACCATCAAATGGTGGTCACTTCCAATATCAGCACCACGTTTATTTCTCACATCAAGCAGGGATTTTCTCCATTTTCTTTGAATCATAAAATGGTCTATTTGGTTCTCAGTAACTGAATCAGGAGACACCCATGATACCTTGTGACAGTTTTTGTGAGGGAATATTGTACCTCCTAATACTAGGTCATTTCTGGCACAAAAATCAATAACCCTTTCTCCATTATCGTTTCTGGCTCCTAGCCCATGCTTCCCCATCACATGTTCTAGTCCAACATTACAATGGCCCACTTTTGAATTCAAATCCCCCATCAGGATCAAAATATCTCTCTTGTTAATGTCTTGTAAAGCTGCTTGTAGCTCTGCGTAAAATCGTTCCTTTTCAATTTCTTCATTTTGTTCTGTGGGTGCATAACACTGTACTATTGTAACATCCTAATTCTTGAATAAAATCTTGCTGTAATTATTCTTTCTGAGATAGGTTTCCAGTCTATCAGGCTCTTCTTTGCATTTTTACTAAGTAAGAATCCAACTCCATTTTTGTGCTCATCTTCCTCATTTGCTTTCCCAGAGTAAAGAAATGTTGTGTTATGATCTGATTTTATTTCTCCAAATTGATTCCACCTAACCTCACTCAATCCCGAAATTTCTAGTTTGTAATTTACCATTTCTGCCACTACTTGCTTGAGTTTTCCAATCTGGTATAATGTTCTTACGTTCCAAAAACCAATTCTCGTTGTCCATTTCAAGCCAAAGGTCGTTGCCATAAAGTCCTTCCGGTTGTTTCTCAAGGTTTCAGTAATAGGTGTTTCTCGAGTGAACAGGTTATTGGCCTATCGCACCCAAAGCTTGGTGGAGGGGCTGCCTCCTGAGCCTCCAAGCTTGCTCTAGAGTTGCTTCAGCTGTCGGGTCTCATGACATAGCCTACTTCCTGGGACGTGCATTCTGCACCAGCCAGGTTGCAACTCCTAAGGATCATCCACAAGATTGAGCGATCCCCCCTCACTTGGTTCTGTAGGTGGGCCAACACCCAGTGGCAGAGGGTAGCTCTTCGCAGCTAACAAGTGAGAGTTGGAGTTTAGGTGTGGACCAGTCTGTCGAACCAACCCCGCATGCAAGGTTTGGCCGGAACGGCATGAAAGGTACTACCACTCCCTAAACTCCCTGACCCTCCTTTTTCATACCAAACTAGGCCTATCACAATATTTAACCATATACAGTCATTTTGTCACTAACAATTATTTTGTCAAAAGCAAGAATGGTATACTTCTTCTTAATTGGACAATGAAGGCTATTATAATTAATTGAAGATATTCTGCTAGGTTGGAATATAGCATACTACAAGAAGCTAGGAGGAGCCTTTGTTGAGTTCTATTTTGATCAGCAAATGCTCAATGAGGCGTATAGATGTCTCAACAGCCACACTCTTGCCCCCATTGCTGGATTTAGTGATGGTTGGTAATGATCTGTCACATCAAAAAATAATATAGTTGCCAGAAGTGATAGAAACAGAAACATATTTCAGCGTTATTTATATCATCAGCAAGGTTGGTTTCAGTAACTAACATGTTCGCTGCGGTTGCGTGATGGCTGGCCTCCGGGTTTGGGTAATGCTAATGCGCTGTGTGGATGAGTGCACAAAAACGTTTAAATTTAATTTCATCCAATAGGAGAGGCATATTATAGCATGTACTGCGTCCCAGTTGTTGTGATCTCATGACGTGATGTCTGTTTGCTCATGAACTGATCTCTAGCTAGTCTCTGGAACTCTGTGACTTATAGCATTCTTGGCAGGCTTGAATTTGTCGTTATTTCTTTGATTTCGTTCGGGATCATTTGGCTTTTAATTTTTTATTGTTCCTACTTTAGATGTTAGGTTGTCGATTTTCACTTCATTAGCCCAGACCCATAGCACAAATTTAAAATGTTATATTAAAATGATTAGTTCCATAAGTTATCAGATCTGATTTCTGCAATGCAGTAGCTTCAGTTATTTTTTCACCTTCGACAGATTAGATTTTACTCACATTTAGACTTGTTATTAAGACAGCCATTGGATCCTCCAGAAACACAGAATACACAGTTGACTCTATTGCAGAACCATTTTTTGCTTTCATCCCTGAAAAGCTGACTGTAATCAGCCTTTCAGTGAAACCAACGGTTGCATTTTGACTAACATTGTATTCCCTCCTCTGAACCCAGAATCAACTTCACGCATACTTTTTACCTAGGTGTTTTATATCATGGTTCTGAAATATCAAAGATAGCTCCAATAATTTTAAAGGTAGGTATACTAGGTTTTTACAACAACATCCGTATGAGAGCTTAGGTAGCCTACTTGAGAGCTATTTAATTCACCGCCGAGGAAGGCTGGGTAAGTACAATAGATAGGTATGTTATAACTTATCACGCTCAATGCAGATTCCTCTATGGATGACGTAATACAGACCGTATGAAAGGTTTGGGTTTGGACAGTTTTTTGTTGTTGGATACAATACAAGGTTTATTAGAATTCATAAGGTGTCAGAGGTGATAAACGTGAAGGTTGCCCACACACACAACATGAAGGTTGAGGGTACACACACAAAACTCACGAGGGGTAAGTTATGTGGTGACCACGGAGCAGAAGGCTAAGATAGTTCTAATTTTGCCTATAATAGCGAAACGTTTCATGGAAACCAATCACTTCAGCCATATTGAGAGAAAAAATGTTTTCTTGTTAGTTAACAGATAAAAAATTAAATAGGCTTAACCATCAGCATTTTAAGCTATTGAGACTCTCAAAGAACGCAATGATCACACTTATTCTTATTTGCCCTAAAAAGGTTTGAACTCTATTAAAATGCAATATTGGTAGGCCCAATAAAAGATAAGTTTCACGATGTATGTTGTACCAACAGCAATGTTTACAAAGAAGTTAGATTAATTTGTTTACCTCATAACCAGATTTTTAAGCATGAAGACATCCTGTGCTAGCTCTTTACTCCTCACTCTCAGTTTGTCGATCGTTTCTGAATCTTCATTTATTCTCCTGGAAAGGGTTTCCCTCTCCTGCTCTAGCTTTTGTTTTGAAGAATGTAGTTCTACAATACGACCTTCCAAAGCACGTAACTTGACTTCTCCAGAACCATAACCTAAAAAAAAAAAGTTGCAGACTGAAATGTGAAAGGCATTAAATACAGGCTACTGCCTGCTTTAAAGGTATTAACTCAGGGGAGGTATAGATGAGCATACGATGACAGCTGTGGGCTTCTTATTAGCTGAGGGAACACAATTACCGTAACAATACGGTTTGTAGCCATCGGCCTCGGTGGTATAGTGGTTAGCGCTCGGCTGATATGCTGAAAGTCCCAGGTTTGAATCCCGCTGGTGGCACTAACTTTTTGTCTAAGATTTTTTCATTATCAGCAAGTTTGGTTGGTTTGGTTCGGTTTGACAGTTTAATTTTATTATTAAGTCATTATAAAATTTTAATTGAGCAATTTCTAGATTTATTTAATGAACAGAATTATTTTTCTATTAGTAAACTTTTTTATATTATTTCATTATCAGCAAGTTTGGTTAGTTCGGTTAGGTTATGATGGTTTAATTTTATAATAAAAAAATTACAAAAATTGAATTTGAGGCATTTTATAATTTTATTTTATGAACAGAACTATTTTTGCGATTAGTAAACCTTCATTGCCAAAATGCCTTCTACTACAGCGCTGTTCACGGAGGAATTTTGAACTAATGCCTCAATCGTACCTCCCCTAAGTCAGACCCCTGCTTTAAAGGAAATGTTTTAACTTACTGGTTTAGGAATTGAATGTACAATAGGTTAGGACTACCTGTATTTAGAAGATGCTGGTTTTCTCTTTTAAGCCTTTCAATCTCGGCAACAAGATGCCTTTTGCTCTGCCGATGCCGACACTTTCCTCTCTCCGACACATCCGGACTCATACTTGCTTGTTCATGATGGTATAAATTTGCTTCACTGAGGGAGCGTTGATGAACCAAGTTCTGTAAAACAGTAAAATAGCAATAATTTAACCTTTTTTTCATCAATAGGTAAGGTACCTACTTAAGTTAAACCTGTTCTACCTTGAGCAAGACTTGAGGTCCTTCACAGCCTTACTTAAACAAACCCTGATCATGTAAGCTTAAGTTACTATAATTTAGCCTACTCCTTTCACAAAATTTAGACGGTTTGAGGGGAAGCGATACCACCCCCTTCACTTCTCATTAGCTATGAAACAACAGCCGGCAGCTGATATATACATTAAACTAAAAAAAAATTGTGGGGGAACCCAGGAAGCATTCCCCTTAAACCGCCAAAATGTTGTGAGTGGAGTAGGCTATGTTATAGTAAGTTAACTTAAGCCTACATGATCAGGATTTTATTGATTAACTTGACCGTTTTAGACAGTATAGGCCTATACCTTAGATAGTTTTATTAGCCTAACTGTCAATGTAACTTGTTGGCAACCAAGTTCGGTTGCTTTGTTCACCTATTACAATGTACTTAGATAGAACACTTTTTACACTTTTTTTTTTTGATAGCCTAACTTAACTTAGGCCTAGCCTAATCTGTAGCCTACGTAAACTTGAACAAAAGTAAATCATATCTTACCTTTTTATTTCTTCTCGAGTGTCGTTGGTGTCTCTGTGATGAACCAAAATCTGTTGCCAAAGAGCTATTAATTCCTGTTGAACTGGTTTCATCAATTGGAAGATCAGTTACAATTGTAGAAAAGAGAGGAAGCTCTGGTACAGTAGGCCTAGATCGTGACAGTGCCATCACTGCTTATAAGATCATGGATTGTACAAAACTATCACGGTCACTTTTAACAACATGGAAAAGATACAACATGTTTACGTTTTATAAACTCAAAAGAAATGCAACAAATGTGATATCAAACAGCACGTCGTTGCCTAGAACTAAGCTAAAGCTGGTAAACGGGTGGGAATAGTTCCAGGTACACACTGGTTCCAATTTCCAATGTAGAACATTATACATCGAACTATTCGAACTTATAGGCTATTTTACTCAAACTTAAAAGCCAAAAAGATTTATGGAAACTTCAGACTTATGTTATGGATCAGCATAGTTTATATATACAGGCTGCTATAGTCACAAATATAACTTAACGACATTTTAAAAAGTTGAAGTTTCAAAGTTTGTTTTGATTTGATTTGTATCCATATAAACAAATAACAAAACAATTGAAAGGATTCGTCTGCTGAGTGCTGTGACGTTGTGGTGTTGCAGGGCAGCCAACGTCTTTTGGAACAGCTAATATAGGGCTTTCTATGTGAAATGTATAATAAACATTATATATTAGTTGTAAAACCAATATTTGTATATTAGTATTAGTGAAACCAACAGCAATTATTTATTTATTTATTTTGATGGCAAACACAATTTTTACAATAGATTTTATACTGTACATGCGACAAGATAAATCTTTTTTATATGCTGGTAAATATTGTGCAGCTACATACAGAGATACATGCAATGATGAATTTTCAATTAAAATCACGTGGATTATGATTGAATTGTTGTAAAAAATTGTTATTTTATTGTCATTCTTAACGTTTTGTAACTTTCAACCCTTTGATTATAACAGGTATGAACAATATTTTCAACCGTTACATTAATTATGAATGGATTTTATCATTGAATTTATATATACTTTGTGTAGGTATAAAGTCAATTATTTAATTTAAATAGACCGAATTTTTTCATATGTACCTATTTAAATTTAACCCAGCGGAGTTTACCATATTATTACCATGATACCTACAACTAAAGGGGAATTTAAAATAAAATATTTTAAGTTCATCAAGACTGCAATATGATAACCAGGCTGGAACAAATCATCTTTTGACAAAGTCATAGCTCCACACATTTATAACCTAGCTAAGGATTTAAACAAACTAATCTTCGGATTGGTTTACCTTGTGCAATAGCATATAACCTCTCTGGATCGGATATGACAATATTTGTTTACCTACAAAACAAACTCTTAAAAGATTGTTCACATATTAAATATGGAGATGAATTTTAGCCTGAAGTTAAACAAATCGAGATCATTATAATTAGGCACTGCGTAAACAATAAGTGGAAAAGTCATATTATCTAAGGGGGTATATGAAGTCACCAGCAACATTTCCACAAAATCAATGGTTATACACGAATTTTGGAATTTAATGCCCGTTCTGGGTGACGAAATAAACGACGGAAAAGCAATTTCCTCTTTGCAGGGACATAAACGTTTCATCAAAATATTATATGTTGGAGGAAAAACTATCACTTCCATCTGCATTCTTCATTTCTACTTCAAGGTTGAAAAAAACATCAATCATAGTAACTAAAAACTGTTTCATTGACCTGTGCCCTTTTGCGAGCAATATTGTTTGCAAATACATCTTTCAGATATTTGTGTTATGACGTCGCAAATATTATTTCACCCATTCTCATCCTGGCATATTATTCTTGTTTTTTACCATTTTAGATTTATGCCTTCCCATTAGTTGGTTACTATGACTGATGTGCTAAATTAATTTCATGCTTATCGCTTTATGTCCGTGTAGGAGGATTATGTGGAAAACAAATGCAGGAGAGAGAAGAGCTTAGCTAGTTTCGCTCGCTCCGCTGAACAATCCTTCATTTAAAATAACAGTACATGTTATGTGAGCTCCAGCTCACATTTTTTTAAGAAATGAAACTGTTCAAAACTAACCCAACCTGAGTCCTAACTAACCAAACTTGAGTTAACATTACAATATTTCTTTTGACATTCCCCACATGCCTTTTCTGTTATCAAACTTTTGTTTAATGCAAAATATTTTGATCTCATCATTAATAAACATTTTATTATAAAATTTAAAAACAGCCTTGATCAACTTTTTATTTGTGAAAACATAGGAGTCCAGTCAGGAGCTTGAACATGAAGTTGGGAAGACTATATTAAAAAATTAAATTATATAACAGAGGATAGTAAGATAGCTATTAAGCAAATTTCACCTATTTGCTGAAATTTGTTTATTTGGCTGAAACGTTTCGCTATTATTAAGCAAAATGAGAACTATCTCAGCCTTTCTGTAATCTGCTCCGTGGTCACCACATAACTTACCCCTCGGTGAGTTGTGTGTGTACACCCCGGCAACCTTCACGTTTATCACCTAGACACCTCGTAAATTCTAATAAACCTTGTATTGTATCTAACAAAAAAACCGTCCAAACCCAAACCTGTCATACGTCTCCATAAGCTATTATCATAGGGGCACAGAATATAGATAACTAAAGGTAGGGAATCCAAGGTAGGGTACAAAGGTTGGGTATCCTAAGGTAGGGTACTCCAATCATCATCAGACCCAATAGGCGATTGACAATAGGTGTCCAATCGAAATCGATTACCACTTACCATCTTTTTTGTATATTTAACGTCTTGTGAGTAACAGTATAAGCATAAATATATATGTTTTTAGTGTTATAAGACGTTTCTTTTATTTACTTTCAGTAAATTTAATAACACGTACAATTCTGATCAAGAAGTTATCTACTTATAATGGAACAAATTTATTAATAAAAAATGTAAAATATACAGAATAGACAAAAAATATAACTTTACATTTAATTATAGTAAAACCTTAAAACATATAATAATATTTAAGTAACCAAACAATAACAGTCATCATGTTTGAGAAAGTTTATTGCAAAAACATGGTTTTTGAGTGAACTCCAAGAGGTTAGGATCTTTGATTTTCCTTGAAATGTTCTGGTTTTCAAGCCATTGTTCATAATTTCCCATATTTGTAGAATTTTTTTCCAATTCAGTGTCTCCCTTTTCAAGCTTCGTATAATCCAAGTTTCAATATTTTCAACACTTCAGAAATTTAATTTTCTTCTGCGTATATATTTCCAGAACCACAATTTTCATTTTGTTAGGCAAAGATTTTGTGCACGATATCTCGTTGTTAGTCATAAAACAGAAAATAATTATGTCGTAAAATGATTTTTAATATTACCGGTACTCATAAACTGATCTGTAATTTAATTTTAATTTTAAAAGAGAATCAGAATTGAAAGGAAATTGGCTATCACAGTTTGGCAAAAAAAAAAAAAAGAAATTAAAGTCAAAACTAAATAAACCAGAAGTTAACATAATAAAAGAAATCTTCAACTATTAGGCTGATAAATCTACAAGATATTATTATTGCGGTATTTGATCAATGGTCAGATGTTGTGGCAAATAATTTTCATCTAAATCAACCAGATGTTAAAAACATTCTTTTTGGTAACAGCACACTCTAAAGAGTTTTTGCTAAAACAACTCCAATTTTGTGCAATAAAGTATATATTTAACAAGTATACAATGTTCGTTTTTTATTTTTGTGGTATAAATTGAGATAATTTCTGAAAATATTTTTTTGTAACTATAGCTTTCTCAATCAGTTCAAAATATTTTCTAATTAGCTTACAAACAAACAGTTGTAAAAAATTCTTGACCCGTATACATATTATAATACTGGAAATTGGAAAACTAAGTTCATAGATCTCACTATTAAACATTAGTTCTCAAAAATATATATTTGTTTTTAGATTTGTTAATCTTTGTCAAATTCAGGTTGTCAAATCATACCTATCTTTAAAATCCTCAAACTTGAAGTGAGAGGATAATAATGTGTAATAATAACTTAGAATATCTATTAGCATTTGCTCACATTACTGCTGGAGTCCAAGAAAAACTTTTTCTTGGATCAAGAAAAATCAATCTGCCAATGTATATGTAAATAGGTAATATATTTACATATACATTGGCAGATTCAGTACTTCCTTATTTACCATATTGATTTATTTTTTATTTAATTAGGAATAATAGCAAATATGGCGTAATAACTATACAAATATACACTAGATTCTATAAATACCCCCGCCGCAGCAAACCTGCAGACTAAGCGAATTTCCATTTGACTGATTGGATTTACACTGAAATGTCTACTTAAAAATAAAACATTTATTCTTGATTTAAATAGAATTCAAGTACTTAGGTTTGCTGCATCAGGGAGGGTAAAACTTTTTTTTTGTAAAATGTGAATAGTTAGTAAGAAATAAAAACATTTTCCAAATTTGATCAAAATATGTTCACAAACAAGCAAACTACAACAGTTTACTTATTCTCCATAAGAATAACATGGGAATTTTAAATTAACAATTTTTTGGAATTTTCTCCGTAACCATTAGGCGCTAAACAAATATACTAAATTATTTGTTTTTTTAAGCTCTACAAAATGGTTTGGAAAGAAATTGCTAAATTTTATGTTTTTTGGGTCTAAAATGGGAAAAACCTATTTTTACCCCATAAAACCCCCCGTAAACCCCCGTTCCCATGGTCCGATCATGCTGGATCGCGAACTCGTTCGAATAAACGTACGTTTACACGTTTGTACCAAATTTCATCAAAATTGGATCATTTTTGCTCGAGTTATCGTGCTGACGGACATATATATATATATATATATATATATATGTATTTTAATTTAGGTGTTCACTTAATAGGGCTGCTGATATATTAAATATTTAAGTAAATAAGTACAACTGAGCACCCTGAATATTATCTATATATATAAAAGGCAAAGCCCTCACTGACTGACTCACTCACTCATCACTAATTCTCCCACTTCCCATTTACCTAGGAGGCTGAAATTTGGTACACTGATTCTTTAGGCATTAAATAGGAAAACTAGGTTGTTTTTGTTCTGATCGGACTCTCGGGCTCCGCCCCAGTGGCTCTGGAGTTTCCCATGTTAACCTTATGAGTACTCATATTTAAATGGAATTAATTAATCTTAACAGCTGTTTCAATTAAACAAGTTGGTTCTGTTCTATGATGTTCAATACCATTAAAGTTACAAGGATTACCAACAGGGTGCAGCACTAT